TGTGTTTGTTACGTTCCGTTGTACGCAGTTTATATTAATGTTTTGTGGATTTTTTGTTTTTGTTTCTTGCTTGGCTGATTGCGGGTTGCAGGTGAAATGTATTTATTTTTATTATTATTATTTTTTAATTGTTATTAATTACATTATAATAATATTGTAGTCTTTAAATTTAATTTATTTATTATATTTTATTTTATATAATTATGGATATCTCATTATGTAATAACAGTGATATTTTCGTGTCCTGCTTGCTCTCCGATGAAGTCAGCTTCCACAGCTTGACTGCTTTAAATGAAAATTTAATTTCCACCTTTGCTGATGCGCCTAAAAATTTTAATTTATGCTGTCCTTGTTTCTGAAACTTTTCTTAATTCTTGTCTCCCTTCTACTTCTTACTCTTTACCTGGTTTCCACTTAATTAATATATATATATATATTTATTCATATATTTATTTAGTATTTTTATTATTGCCATTTTCTTCTTCATTTGTATGCAAAATCTGCATTCTGTTGCGCCCTCAAATAATTTTATCTTACTGTTTTTCCTGTAATCTGAAGGTTGCATGGTAGAGATTGTTATTTAGCAATAAGGCCGCCTGTTGTACCTGTAATTTTTACTTTTTGGTGTATTGTTATTATGTATTTGTCCGTGTGCAATAAAGAATATTTGTATTGTATTGTATTGTGTTGATCTTCGTTCTACGGATGAATCGATTTTATGCACTGGATCCGTTTGTAGCATTTGAACACACTTTCAGAAGGAGATTAGAAATGGTCTTATTTGAAAATAACCGAAATTATTTTCTTTTTTTTTTGTTTAATTAAGTTTCATTGGCTCTGACTGGCTAAACATATTCATTATAAATTCTTAGTTATAGCGTTGTTTCGAATAAAGTAAAACAAAAATAAAAATGAAAAAAATCCGGGAGTTCTGCGAGTAGTATTATCCATTTTATGTGCATCATTAGAAGTTTAGGTCGTTATACTCCGTTTGTTTCTATATCCACTTCTGATAGAAGCGCGTGTATCGCTGCTACTGCTTGGTAAAATTATAATGTAAGAAACTTAAACGTATGGATAAATTAAAAACTGCATCGTAAATTATACCGTACCATTAGTACAATGAAGCCACTTGTAATCATCATAGTGTATCACATTAAATTTATAAAAATAACACGAACTATATGAAGCAAATTAAGTATGTATACGTGAAACTTTATAACTTTTTTATGAGACGAAGTGGCGGGACGAACAAGTCGCCTACCTGGTGGTAAGTGACACGCCCGTCCATAAGAGTTGCAATACTTCTCAGTGGTTTAAATCACAAAAACTGAGGCATAAGTTGACAAGTCCCTTGTGCCTGTAATTTCACCAGCACCCTTACTCTTTAAAACCGGAAGCTGGACGAACTATTTGACAAGGACCTCTACTGCTACTAATAACTGAAACTGTCCTATTTAAGCACAACACAGTTATCGACTTTTGTTCGTAGAATCTTTAAAACCTCTTTTCTAAAAAGTTGTCATTTTGCAGATGTAGCCTTATTGCATTGAGGGTGCGAAATAGTGATTGTCCTGTAACTGGTTCCCAAACATCTGAATCACAAAGCCGAGTTTCCCAGCCGTATCACACGGTCAATGTTTAGAGTGAGTTGCAAAGAAAAACAAGGGTTGAAAGATCGTTTCATTGCAACGCCGATCACGTACTCACTTTGTTAGCAAAACATCCCCTTTGATGCCCGGATTCGTTTTTTTTAATGCATATCTTGAAGAGAATTATTGATAACTATATCGGATCCGAGTAACTGATTTTCTCTTTGACTTTTTGATTCGTAAACATTGTTTTTGGTATTGCGTTGTGTTTCCCCGTTCGTAAATTGTGTTTGTATTGATTCGCTTATATCTTTTTCGTTGGTTAGAAATAATGTTATTTTTATTTACGTACTAATTTCATAAACCAAATTATCTTTTCGCTTTTTCGTGTCTTACATTTGCTGAAGTTGAAAAGTAATAAGGGAAAAATTCAAATGATTGTGGTTTCGTGCGCTGCGAAGTGAGGCAAAAAATCTTAAGTAGGCCTTTGTTCTTCATTGGAGATAAGGCCGTTGTAGGGATGTGGATGCCAATGTAGCCAAGTAGGTTGTGAATTGTTAAAATAACATGAAGTTTCAGAACAACTGAGTGAATGAATGAAACAATCAAACAGTCTCCATAAACGTTTTATAGAATAAATTAACGAATGAAATGTGCTTTCTTGCAACGACCTGCCTCAGTGGCCGAACGGTTACCATGCTGAACTGTCACGCAGAGGTCCTGGTCGATTCTCAGACTATTAGAAATATTTGACCTTTATTTTTCTCGTGATTTTGGGTGTAATTTGTAGTTGTCAATGTGTGTGTCCATAGTAACCGCGATACAGTGTTCCCCTAGTGCGGGGCTATGAGTGTGTGCATTATTATTATCTTAAAAATTACAATGACAAAAAAGAACATTACTGTGAGCAGAATTTTTTTAAGTAGCAGTAGAGTGAAAGTGCCCGTGCGCCTGCACGGGACTTTTCAACTTATGTCTCAGGGAGACGAGCGCAGAGGCAGTACCCCTCAGATCTTGTTTGTTCCGTCACTTGGTATCATAAAAGACAACCTTTCACATAAATAACCAAAGAATTCATAATAAACACAGCCGATATTACCGTACTAATATTGACTTTGCATCGCATAGACCTTGGCCGCGGTTGTTCGTGACGTGAAAATTATTTCTCAAAGTTGCTAAGCGTGAGCAACATCTAAAACGTGACGATATACGGGTTTTAAAACGTGAAACTTTTTGAAGTTATTGGTTTCTGTAAAAGTTTTCCCTCCCACGTCATGGCCGCCGCGCTTGCGTCAGTCAAATCGACTTTTTCACGTGAAGTTGAAAAATTACATAATCTACGGGGTGCGATTTTTAACGCGGCAATAACTCTAAGTGAAAATACGCCATTTTTAAACTTATTAAATGAGTATAAGTATATATATATACACTATATATGTAAAGAAAGAATGTATATTTCTTTATTTCATACGGCTCTGTTGT